CATGAATAGCAGACAAAGACAATTTGAATAGCTTTTGTTTCAGAAAGCCGTCCGGGAATTGAAGAACAGCAAACGGTGCTTCATGTATTCAAAATTATGAAAACTGAAAACCTTAGTGGAGATGCAATAAATCAATATACTTCTGTTATATTTATTTCCTTCGCTTTTTTACCCTCCCGAATAATTAATTAGTTTTTGAAGTCGTTCAAAGGCTTCCAATTCGGACTTGACGGGATTTCAAAGTCCTTGCAATTAATTGCGCGGACTTTGAAACCCCGTCAAGTCCTCATTGTCGGCCTTTAAACATTACGTAAAGATTTTCCAATGCATCACGGCTACGGCACGGTACGGACACAGCACAAACGTACCGTGTTTTTTTCCACAATCATCAAAATCCGCTCTATTGCGCAGCACGACAAAATAAATGGGGAAACATTTCGCTGAAATTTCAGGTTCAATTTTTTAGTATATTTCTCTAGCATGCATCTCGTTGTGATGTTCGTTGTGTTATTTAGGTTTGTACCAGAATCTCTTCGATGGCTCGTTGTCAAGGGAAGATTRCAAGAAGCTCGTCAGACATTACAACGTATCGGCAAGATTAACGGTAGATACATTGAAACTGACWTWATTCTACCKGAATACAAAGCAGAAAAAAAGTCTCTTGGAGACGTTAGACTTCTGTTCAGTAAAGGATATGTTTCTTATACGCTGGTTCTTTGGTACAACAAGTAAGTAGCCTTAAAACAAGTAATCCTGATAGAGAGAAATTAGAGTAATCCGTGCAATTTCAGACCGTGGCAATGGCTTCGAATAAATGGGCAGAACGTCCTGCTTGACTTTCAAAAATACAAGAAAGCAAAAGAAAAAAAGGAAAGATTAAAAAGAGTGAAGTAATGAGATATTTTTTTTGCCATTTACAGTTTATTACTAGGGCATCAAAATACTGCGAAAAGATGGTGAAGATGTAGATCGGAATAGAATACGTTCTGTCAAACCAAACTTATATATCAGATTTGATATATATTTGTATATATTTATATTTTTTTTTTTGAAAGAAAAACAGACAACGTTTTTCAAGAAAAAAACGAGAATATTACACTGATCTACCACATACCTCGTTGAATCAGCAGYTCCATTCAATGAATGTAAAAGTGTAATGAGTTAAGCGAATCATCGAAGATGAACTGAAATTGCCTTTTGACTGTAGCAAGGGGGCATTRCATTTTTGTAATCTCGTAAAAAGAGCGCGCTATGCGCATGACCATTACGCAGTAACAATGGTCAGGAAGTGCTATTAAAATTATTCAACCAACCAGTCAACATGATGTCTTATTGAAGTGCAAGTTTCATGACTGGTTAAGTGCATTTAGTTAATAAACACGTGATTGCAAGAAAAATAGATAATTTTAAAAAATCATATGCAAATGGACTTGATTAAAATACAAACTGTTTCCGTTGGTCGCTAAAAAGTCTTGAAAGCATATGAATTAATATAAATCTATAACAGAATGCTCCATTTTTTGTTTCTTTTGAAGCTTTGCGAATTCCATGATTTATAACAGTCTACATTTAATCGCACCAAATCTCGGAGGGAGTCTATACTTCAGCTGGTTTTTGGCAGGAATTGGCGAGATTGTTGGGACTTTGGTGGCTATATTTGTTCATACAAGGTAAGGCTTGTATTCTACAGAATCTCCAATAAAACGGAGAGCAGAAATGCTGTTATTTCAAAAGTTCACTGAGTTGGTATGATACACTGTATACATATGTGGTATCCTTTGACTCAAAGTAGAACTTTATAAATGTCTTGCCAAAATGTATTGAATSTACAACTACATGCATATCTCAAGAGTTGACTGAACATGACGAACATGACTGAACA